AGTTATAAGCTAATGATTGTGCTAATTATTTATGTAACAAATAGCATGTAGCTTGTGGTGAACATGAGTTGAGCTCTCGGTTGGGTGCCATGTCAGAGACAATTGGCTCCTGTTCAGCATATGTTAATAGATTGAACTCATGGTGGGCGACATTCATCATGAAAGCTGGCAAACACTATAAAGGCAACTATAGCCTTCATAGCTTTCATAGCCTCCATACTTTATGTACACTATGATACCCTCCATAGCTTGCATAGGAACTGTGTCATTTATTGGTATACTAGCTGTAGTGGCACTATGGATAAGTACAGTAGGGAATCTAGGAGCCCATAGTCTCAACAGTAGATATATTTATTATTATTGATTTTCAAATTATTCACACATTAAATAAAATAAAATAAACTTGATATTCTATTCAATCAAAGTCTCTATAGATAAATACAGTGGGAACCATCTCAAGAGTACAGCAATAAAATTGGCCTCTAGAGAAGCTAAGTACAATATAACAGTGGAGCACACCATGAAACTCAAATGAAAATCACTGGGAGAGTGAGCGGCAGGCATGTGCCATGATTTGGGATTTCATATGAGTGGCAGAGATAGCAAGAGATGTTGAAGATTTGACAAGCACTGCATGAATTCTTGCTGACCGTTCCCATCTAGGTTGCAGGACTCAAAAGTTGATGGGAGGTATGGTTGACAGCACAGGAGAGATGACTTCGGTATGTCAATCTTCAACATCTCTTGCTATCTCTGCCACTCATATGAAATCCCAGATCATGGCACATGCCCACCACTCACTCTCCCAGTGATTTTCATTTGAGTTTCATGGTGTGCTCCAAAACTGTTATATTGTACTTAGCTTCTCTGGAGGCCAATTTTATTGCTGTACTCTTGAGACAGTTCCCACTGTATTTATCTATAGAGACTTTGATTGAATAGAATATCAAGTTGTTTTTATTTTATTTAATGTGTGAATAATTTGAAAATCAGTAATAATAAATATATCTACTATTGAGATTATGGGCTCCTAGATTCCCTACTGTAGTTATCCATAGTGTCACAACAGCTAGTATACCAATAAATGACACAGTTCCTATGCAAGCTATGGAGGGTATCATAGTGTACATAAAGTATGGAGGCTATGAAAGCTATGAAGGCTATAGTTGCCTTTATAGTGTTTGCCAGCTTTCATGATGAATGTCGCCCACCATGAGTTCAATCTATTAACATGTGCTGAGCAGGAGCCAATTGTCTCTGACATGGCACCCAACCGAGAGCTCAACTCATGCTCACCGCGAGCTCAACTCATGTTCACCGCGAGCTACGTGCTATTTGTTACATAAATAATTAGTACAATCGTTAGCTTATAACTACAGACAATGGCTAATTAATTATTACCTATTGATATATTGAGAGTTCAGTCATTGTCTTTAGGGGCCTGAATTCTCCTGAATTCGACTCATTAGAGGGCTGTGTAACTAAGCACAGGGGGGCTGTGACGGTCCCACGCCGTTTAAACCCCGCACCGTGACGGCGATTGTTGATCTGCCAGTATAAGAGCTCGGAAAGGTGCATGATTATAGTTCAGATCCCTTCTTTTTTGCTACATCATCTTATAGCCCCTTCCTCAACACACTACTCATATATAATCGATAATGTCTGGTTTTCCTGATTTCCCTAGTGCCCCAGGTTTCCCAGATGCATCTTCCTATAATGGTCAAGTTTTCCAACAGTGGGTGCATATTTTTATCGCTACTATTCCTTTAGAGATAATGAACATCCTTTATTCATATCAGGGCGACCTATCCGCCTCCAAATGCGCCACCCTCTCCACACGATGTCCCACCCTCTCCGTTAGGATTTGCTAATCCGTATGAGAGGTAAGCCGATTTTACTGCTTTACCAAGAAGGATTGTATATATAATTAACATAATACTATAGATCTTTGTCTCGAGGACCATCTCTGTCACGAGGACCATCCCCGAGTCCCAGTTTCCAACAGTGAGTGCAGATTTTTATTTCATAGGGTGCCACTATCATCTCTTGTAGTTACTAATACCATTCACATTAGATCGATGCCGCTTCCAAATTATGCGCCACTTTCGCCACGTCCCCAACCAGTCTCTCTATTGGGATTTACTGATCCGTATGGGACTCGGTAAGTCGATTTTACTGTTTTCTGGGCAACATTGTGTAGATAATGGACATAATGATAGACCCTTGTCCCGGGAACCATCTCTGTCACGAGGGACATCCCTGAGTCACAGTCTCCATCAGTGAGTGCAGACTTTTTACTTCACAGTTTTGAGGGATAATAATATCGTTATCCGTGTTAGATCGATGTATCCGCCTCCGAATTCTATACCTCCCTCGCCACATTCGCCCTCTTCATTAGGATTTGATAATCTGTACGATGTTTCCTGGGCAATATTGTGTAGATGATTAACATGATGATAGCTCTCTGTCACGAGGACCATCTCTGTCGCGAGTGCCATCTCAATCGCGAGTACCATCCCCGAGTCTCCATCAGTAAGCGCAGATTTTTTACTTCACAGTTTTGAGGGATACTAATATCGTTATCCATATTAGATCGTTGTATCCTCCTCCGAATTCTATGCCGCCCTCGCCACATTCACCTTCTTCATTAGGATTTGATAATCTGTACGATGTTATTGTTTCTGGGCAAGATTGCGTAGACGATTAACATAATAATAGCTCTTTGTCACGAGAACCATCTCTGTCGCGAGGACCGTCTCTGTCGCGGGGACCATCTCTATCGCGAGGACCATCTCCAAGCCTGAGTCCGGGTGGAAATCTGTATCCTCCACCATCAAGGTACATTTTTCTCATTTTTGCTACAATATGAGTGCCTTACCCTTCCGCAGCTATCCTCACAGTCCCCATGATGGGATGTCACCGCCTCCTTTTGGCAGGTATGTATTATAAATAATTGGCTATCTCCTTAGAACTTAACTTCCTCATCCAGTTCTTACCCGGGGCAAAATCCTTCTCCCACCCCTAATATGTTTATGTATGATTCCATTTATCCTTTAATACTATAGGACCGAGAAACTAAATTCCGAGTTATTAGTCATCCCACACCACAACCGGTACCGCCACCATATTCAGTCATGCCGGCGTCCGCCGCGCCAGAGTCCGCCATGCCCATGCCATCTGCCCAACCCAGCTTTCCGAATCCAACGCCAGGCCAAGAGTATTTATACCTGGGTACTATCGTACCGCCATCAGGGTCAGAGATGCTGCCCCCGAATGTGATACAGAGCATCATGAATCCGCGTTTCAATGTCTCCGCAACATTAAATGAATGTGTTCAAGCGATGAAAGGGATGAGCGTACGATCTTTCTTTCTTTTATTGGGGATAATAAATGAATCAGATGTTTAGGTATTGACATCCCTTAATGGGAAATACGACAAACAATTGACCAATGCTATTGCGCCTTTGAGTGCCTTTGAAATTGAGCTTCTGAAGAAATCATATGAAACTTCACGCGGGGAGTGGAAAGAAACCGGAGATCTAATTCAGAAGGTTGATTCTATATATATTTCGTTTGATGGACCCCTATCCTCATTCTATCGCAGGTGAACAGTAAGACTTCAGGGGATTATGGAATTGCTATAGAAGGAAAGATAAGAGGTCCCATATTGTTTGATTGTTGGCTTTTGAAAAGGTTCGTTCTCTGTTATATTTAGTGAGATCTTCTATGTTTATTCATGCCTTCCTTTGTAGAGCATGCAAAGGAATGGGGACTGACGAGAGCGTTCTCACTGAAGTGTTATTGAATCGCACAAACGGTATGTTCTCTTATTGAATAACTGCTCCAAATATTCATGAATTCGTTGTGACAGATGAAATAAAACGTTTAAAGGAGACTTTTCAAGTTGCATATAACCAAGACCTAGAGCAGGTTGTCGCTGATGACCTCTCCTCAAGGGCTAATGATATTTTTGTGATGGCTCTTGCCGGTACTAGAGGAACCATTGGCACAGATGGCGGGGATGGAAAATCTATTGATCGAAATAAGGTTGATAAGGATATCGAGATCCTTCATCAAACGCGAAAAGGGTCCAATGAGATCAAGTTGTAAGCATAACCTTTGTGGTTCCTAATGACGCTCATTAATATCAACCTGCAGTTGTCGCATCCTCGTTACTAGTGGAAACGAGTACTTGCGCGACGTTATTTTGGGATATGGAATCAAATATGGCAAACTGTCTTATGGTTCGTATTCGGTTCTATTATAGCATTGCCTAGTCTGTTTTTAACGATTTATCTCTAGCCATCAAGGATAAATTTTCTGGCCATGTGAAGGACGCCCTCCTTCACATCGCCCGTTATTATGAAGATAATGACGATGGTGTCGCGCGTGATGCTGAATTGATAGAAGATTCTATGAAAGGTTTGGGAACAGACGAATTCCGATTGAGTAGGTTTACTTTCCTTTCACATGTACTTCAAGGGATGATTACTAATTACTATGATGTAGCCTACCGCATCCTTCGTGCTCACTGGGATAAAGAGCGGTTCAGTCAGATTAAGGCCAAATATGAGAGAGTCCAGGGACAAACATTGAATACTAGAATTAGGGGAGAGACTTCCCGCAGTTATAGGGATTTCTTGATTCAAATTATCATTTAAATGCTGGAATTGCGAGGAAGACTCGACTAAAGAATATAAATCCAGGTGTAAAATTTTTCTTCTATGTATCTTCTCTTATCGGAGTTATACTTTGAAATCCGAGATAGTGCTTCTTGCATAGTATCAGTACTAGTGTACTCTCCATTTCTTGTTCAATACACTGTGTAAACCCCCTTAGCCTGTAGCTTGTGTTATTTATTGGAATACTGAATTTAAGCCGATAATTTATTTCCAATAACTGTGAGAAGCCTACTTATTATCCCTAAAGATATTGCTAAGCATTCAAAAACAAGAAGCCATGTACTGGACTGATAGTGCTAATGCCAATTTTGGAGGTGTGCCTTGCTAGCTCAATCGGTAGAGCGTGAGACTTTTATAAATGATGTTTGGATCACCATGAATTGGTATCTCAAGGTTGCGGGTTCGACCCCCGCGTGAGGCTAGAATCTTGTTTTTGTTTGTCCGTCAAGATAATTTTTAGTCTCTGGAATGTCTATTTCTAATCAGTTTCAATGGTCCTTATCACATTAGGGGATGCCAGAGTGTATAGCTTTTGTCGTCGCTTTGAGATTTGGTAAAATTCCTCGGAAAGGTCCGAAAGCGACTTTCAGCTCTGATCTCCCCGCTTTCACGAAAAAAATACAGGGTAGCTTTCAATTTATTCCTCCGCCGTGATGCGCGGACTAAATCAGGAAATAATGAAAGCTCGAGTTGAAAGCTGATGCGAAAGCGCTCCCCAAATGCGAAAGCGGCTCTGGGAAAGCTGTTTACTCCGATATCCCCTATTAACAGAGCTTCTTATTCTAACTCAGACGAAGCTTTAGGTAATGGAAGAAGGGACTCCTTACCAGTTATCCGCCAGCCACTGAGGTCAAGGACGCACCCGGATAACCCAATGTGGACAGAGAAAGTGTCTCTACCTGTCTGTGGATTTCTATTGACCCTTGGACTTGCAAAAAAAGAAAAAGATGAGACAAGGCCAGGCAAATTGGGAACAAGTCTACGAAAACTTGACAAAAACAGGTAATTTTAGTAATATATTCAGAAACACAAGAGGTTCCTTCGCTTCGCTCCGGGTACAGAGAAAGCCCTTTGAAGCAGCCTCTTTACATATTTAATGTAACACCTTCCCAAAATCCAACGTGGTCACAGATGCTTACGAAGACGCAAGGCTCCGCCTTGCTACGGTATGGTACACAATCTTTTATACTTACTACCATTCGAACGACTGGCCCATGCTTTTATACATTTACGAAACACAGCTACAAAATAACTATTCAAAGAATATGCAGGCATACACATCATTAAACTTCATGTAGACACGTCATCTGCAAAATGTTGACTACGTGGAAGCTCAATCAAGTACCACGTGAAACCCGCTGCTTCCACTACGTGGAATCCACCATCTCGACCATATGGAACCTTCAGCTTTCGACTACGTGGAATCTTGAGCTTTAAACATGTACACACCCCAAAATCCTTTAAAAGGACTGTTCATAGGTGAATTTCGACCCTCCTGTTCCCCCCACGGAAGCAAAGAGCAGAAAATGTGTATCTAGACCAAATTAATTAAAAATAAAATAGTAAATACACCATGTAGACATTAAGCCTGAATGAATAAGTCCTCTTGCCTGATATAAAAACCACTACCAAAAAATCCTGTAATAGGGAACCAAAAATAAAATCCCAACACCAAAAAAAGGGAACTAAAATTCTCCAAAATAAAATATTCATAATAACCTTCACAAAAAGAATTAAATCAGGCTTTTATTACAAATAAGTCCTCTTGCCTGATAAAAAAAACCATTACCAAAAAACCCTGTAAAAGGGAACTAAAATTCTCCAGAATAAAATATTCATAAATAACATTCCAAAAATGATTAAATCACACTTTCCTAAGAGAGCAAATGCCACAAAAGGCAGTTATCATAAGCTTATCACCTACTTATTGGAAGCTTATCAAATCGTGTTGAAAGCTTAAGGTACGAGTAATAACTTAAGACCTCATAAGTTGATAATATGAATGTTCAGATATTCAGAAGTGTAAATACTAGAAGTCATGTGTCTCATTATTGTTACGGGCTGATCCTAACGAAGGGTTCCGAAGCATGACCGAAGTTACGAACGAAGTCACACTAAAGAACGAAGGGTTAGAACTGAAGGACTTG